TCTGCTTGTTTTAGTTTCACTGTTGATTTTTCTATCCATGATTGGAAAGTCCTCATTTGCTTCAGTGTTGAAGGCTTTTTTTCTGTATGTGTGGATGTATGTTTTTTTCCAGCAGGACTTTTCTTCCTGTAGATGTATAAGAAATTATGCATCAGACAAAAGCCTCATAAACTGACCATTTGTCCTTTGGACACAATAGCCTGCCCAGCCCCTCTGCTCCTCCTCTCCAATTATGTGTGATTAGTCTCAGTGTGTTGTGTCAAGAAGGGGGAGTGTGCTGAGTGCTTATTATCTGTTTAGGTACAAGAAGAGCACATTTAGGTTCTGACTATGAATGGAAAGTGAGCCTTTATCAGGACTAAAATCTAAATGCTACTATCCTAGAAATGGCTTTTGAAAAAACACATCTTTTTTTGATAATATAACAGCCAAGGGATTTTATAGTGTAAGAAAACTATCTCCCTTGAATTAGTTTATATTGGGATATATTGTGGCCCACATTTTTGATAAACATTTAATGTGATTTTTTCTTGTTCTTGGAAAGACAAAAATCCTACAAAGAAACAGGAGCAATATCTGATTTTCTTAACATTTTAATGACTTCTCAGAAACAGTCTCTTAAACCGTGACACTTTTAAAATGTTGAAAAAAGAGAGAGGCAGAGGCCATGACTGAGAGAGGAAGGTACTAGATGCAAGCAAGTGTAGGGAATCATGCTGAAGTACATTAATTAAAAGAACTGCAGTGCGAGAATAAGCATTCTTCCATATTTAACAAATGGGACAATACATAAACCACAAGCTTGTGAAAGTCCCTTTCTCTTCGTTCTTCTTCTCAAACAGATTTCTTCACTACCGGTTTGCATGTCCTTGTATTCAGTACTTTTTATGCTCCATTAGAGCACCTAGATGGATCTCAGAAGGCATAGGTCAAGTCGCAGTTAGATCATACATTTCTTTCTCACAAAAACTTGAATTGCAATGCCAAGTGATGGGCTAACATCACAATAACAGCAATTTATTCCTCTTTTGATAAAAAGCAGCCTATTCTCGGTGTTAGATAAAGACCAGGGGCAATGCAAACCAACCATTTATCCTAGAACTGAGTACTATGTCCCTGCTATAGCTGGTATGAGTTTCATATTCAAACTCCTGTTGGAAAATACTTGTCTAGTAAGAAATCAAAAGCATTTAGGAGTAATTTGAAATTGCTGTGAAGATGGCTTTAGTTTAATTAGTTTCGTTTTGTTTGTCCCACACAGCAGTGTCTTTGTTTCTCTAAAAACATGTACAAGGACATCTTCATAATCAACAAAGCAGTGTGAAAAATAGCTCAATATTAAAATTTGTGAACCTTTTATTTTTGAGAGGGCTTGAATGTCTGCTGTACAGTAATCTAATAAAGATCGTTAGTTGCCAAAAATAGAAGCAGCATCATTGAAAATTGTGGTTTTAGCTCTAAGAAGAAAAGAGTTTTACTCAAATTAGTAGCTGATAATTGCTTTTTATTTCTTTAGTGTCTGTCGTTTGAGTTGAAGGCTTTGCACAGGTGCTGCGATCCCTAAAGTGTGTAATTGATGGCTTGTTTACCAAAGATGCATTTAGGCTTCATCCTGCAAACTCACGTTGGAGCTCCACAGGCAGTAAAGTTACTCATCTACATAAGTGCTTGCAGGTTTGGTCTGTGTGCACATTTTTAGAGGTATATAAGCAAGTTCTTGATTTTTCTGTTTTAACATGGGTATTGAAAAGTCACAGATGTAGTATTTACATGAGGCACTAGAAGTGTTCTTTTTTTAGAGACATCTCTCAGAGTCCCTTGTGTCAGTAGGGATTTGAATTGTTTCTGAGCTCTTAAATTTTAATAAAAATACAGTGTTTATTAATACATCAAATATCTTTGCTAAGAAAATGTTCAGCAGTTTATCAAATCATACTTATAAAATATATCAGAGCCTTTTATTTGGTGTTTTAACTAGTCTCGGATACTTGGTATATTTTTAATTATATAGTTTACAGTGTTCTATTACAGAATATTGAGCTTAATTACTTTGTGTTTGTTAAGAAGTTGAAGTTGAATGATGCTGTGCAAGAGCTATGCTGGCTTCGCTGAGAATGGAAATGTTAGTCTGATGCAAGTTTTCCTTCACACATGTTGGTAGTTCTTACGGCAGTGTTGTGTCTTCCTCCTTTCTCAGAGAAAAGTAGGCATCCATTCCCCTGGGCACAGCCCTTATGCACCTGGTGTCACTGGCAGCAAGTTGTGTGATCTTCAGGATATAAAAGATCAAGAAAAAAGTGTTCCATTTCCTACTCTGAGATATGGCAAAGGCTTTCTTAAAAATTACAAACTCATCCTATCTGATAACATTCTGGAATAATGGGACAAATCTTTACATTTGGGAAATAAGTCTGATTTGAAATGACAAATGTCTAAAGAGTGTGAGATAAGGCTGAAGAACTTACTATCCCAGGTACCAGTCCAGCTTCAAAATCCTTATTGGACAAGTCATTTACAATTTCCCTGAGGCTTTAATGGCTACATGTTTGCGTGAGGAGGGAAGCGGGATTAAAATTGTTTCCCCCCCCAAAGGCATCCTTACATCTTAAGCCTGGCTGCATACGGTTTATCAAGTGTTATATCTCCATTACAACTCTCCTTCGCTGTTCCCTGAACAAAAGAGGATGCAGTGGGTGGAGCTTTTGATCCTCCTCTTGATATGGCAGGTGGCACAGCTGATATGGCAGGGGGAAGAGGGAAAAGGCAGCAACACATGCAAGTCAAACAGAGCAGTGTTTTATTACCCACTCTCCTAATACAAGAGGGGAATAACTAGGTCCTTGTGTTTTCACAGGGCAAATTTTAAATGCATAGTTTTAGCCTGAATTTATGGGTTTTTTATGCGTGGTTTTCTCCTTCTTTACATCAGGGAATGAGCAGTGATGTCAAACTGCAAATTCCTTTATAACTCTGGTGAAATGTTTTGAAACACTAGTAGAAAGTGCTAAGACAGCATGCATCAGTGGTTATGTCTAAAATGTTTTCTGCACAGCCTTGTCATCTCATGTTGTTTCCTCAGAAAGAAACAATTTTGTTGCTTTTTTCTTTTTATTCACGTTTTAGATTGTCCTGAGCCTGATTAAGATAGATTGATTAGGATGGATTGTCATGCCTCCACTGTCACAAATCGGTTGCCTAACATTGGTTGTAAGCACACCGGTATCTTTTGAAAGATTGTTCTAAAAGCTGATTTTCAATATGATTCTCATCTGCAATGCAACAGCACTTACTTAACCCAGCCAAAATGAGGGCACTTTGATGTGAAATCCCATAAAGCTAAAAGAAGGTCAATACATGACTTTGCAGCTGAATGTGTAAGTAAAGGCGGGACCCCCCTAATTCCTCATATGGGGGAACCTAAGGCACAGCCAGTTTTGCTGTCTCCTTTGCCTATAGCCATTTAGAAATTAGGCAATGCACTCTATAACTGACCCCAGATTTTGTGAGACCCAGTGCTGCATCTCCTCTACAAGATCCATCTCCCTCTCCGACCTGTGGACTCCGTTCAAACAGCTGAATGTAACAAACCTAACTTTTCTTTCCCATTTTTAAAGGGTTTAGCCTATTACAGCTCCTTGCTTAGTCAGCAGCTGGCTTGCTGCCAAAAAGCCCAGCATATTGTTGTGGCTGGGTAAAAGCTGGATATTTTCCATTGCTGTCCAACAGCAGTATTGGATCTTCATTGTCTTCCTGTGTGGAAAGTGTGTGGAAAGTAGAGGGAAGATGCACGAAGCGGTAGTCCAGATGGCATTCCACAGCCTGAGAAGAAACATCTTGACCCTCGGATCTGGGTTAAACTCAACAGATGCCAAGCCCCCAAAAACAAAGAGCTGTTGTGGCTGACGACGGCGAAGGAGCGATAGGCCTTTAGTAATAAAAGTATCTTTTATTTTGGATGCATTTCCCTGCAGATAACCAACATGGTGTCGCTTGTAGAAGATTGCTTATTTAAAAAAAAGCAAAAAATGATGTTTCTCTGCATTAGGCACTGTCGCCCTTTAGTTGTAAAATGTTGCCCCTGGGTGAGGGTTATGCTCGCAGAAAGGATTGGAACGTTCAGACTGTGCTGTGCCCTGCCAGAGCCTGTGTGCAAAAAGACCTGTTATTTTTCCTGACTCTGACTCCAATTAATGTACTTTTTAAATGATTAAACATATCATGCTGTGACTTCTGAAATGTCAACAAGCTTCGAAACTTGGGAGACAGGAATGTAATAAAATAGGTAATAGGAGATTCAATAGTTAATAGAGACTCTGAAGTGTGAGTGTATACAGTAGCTGTATATTGGAAACTGTGCAAATGAAGATGGCTTGGTATTGCAAACTGAGGAAGAAAATTGTTTTTAATTAGCACCTTCATAAGAACTGCTGATTAATACTGTTTGGTTTGGTGAAAAGCTTTCAGCTGAGTAATTTGTACAGCCATTACAACAGTTTTGTTAGACCAGGACTCCTGTTGTTAAACACAAACAGCAGATGATAATGGTGGAAGATGAGTTTGTCATGTAACAATTTACCTTATTGAAAAAAGCTTTATATAAAACCCAATACAGTAGGTACCAGCAGAAATCACATATTTTAAATCCTTTCAAGATTGCAGTGTGCGATGCTAGTGTGTTTTTTCATGGACGAGAAACAGATTTTATATCATTTATAAAATTATATATACAATTTAAAGGTGTTGTAGCATGGACAGACCACTTTACTGGTAATGCTTTACATCAGGACAGTAAAGTGCTGGTATATTCAAACACTTCCTAAGTGTACAAAGTCGGTCTAAAAATTGAAAGGTAATTAAGAAATATTGTTCACATGCAAATGTATGTTTGTGCATTATGCACTGAAATTACGTCTGGTGTTTGTGCAATGTCTAGCATTTATACCTTAGGCTTTAAGGAGATTTTCTCCCAGGTTAACTACTGTTCACTGCAATTGCTTTCCCTTCTTTTCAATTGACAACAAAAAATTAAAACCCGTTATCCATGTCTCCATAATACACAGGCATATGCATTTTAGTGGCCCGGATAGGAAATTTAGAGCCTTCTGTAGAAACTGAGGGATTTTATTAAATGTGGTAACAATGAAGGAATATCTGCACTAAATTATGACGCTAACCAAGGATGGTAAGATCTGTAAATTATTGGAGTGCTATAATAGAACATGAGAGTTTTCCTTTAGACAGGCCTTCGGGGTAATAACAAGGGTTGAGACTCACGACAGTGCCAAATAAGCTTTAGACAGCATAATAGTCTGCAAAGAAAAGCCACAGAGCACTAATGTAAAAGAAGAGCTGTCCACCACATGCAGTAAAAATCACCAAAGGTCATTTTATGGTAGCAATTGTGACATAAAATTGGTGGTCATGCTACATGTCTAATACTCAGCACAGCTTTATAAATGATGGGCCCCTAGCGATGGCTGTCATTAAGTGCTTTCATCATAATAAACTTTAAACTGTTGGCTT